TAAAGAATTTTTATTTATTCTTAGCAATAACATTTAAGAGCTTTTTATTTTCCACATTTATTACTCTATTAAATGATATTTGAGTTAAGATTTTAAATTGCCCATAACTCTTGAATTAAACTATTTTATTGTCTGAATAGAATGATGTAAATATTCTTTGGTTTTCAAAGAAAAAGTTTTAGGTAAATTAGAAGAAATGTTTTCAGACTTCCTTGCGTTTTGTTTTTGTGGATGTTACGGGAGCTTTAGTGTTTTTGCATCTGATTTGACCAGTAAGCAAACTTTGTTAATTTGAAAAATTTCTTCAACTCTTGTATTCTTATAACAGACAATTTCTTCAAAGCAGAACAAGAAATGATTATAGTGTTGGTTAGGTGTAATTTGCATGTGAAGTTTCTTTAGGTATCTGGTATTTACAGATCGTGAGGTGTTTGACATTCTACTTATGTATAAATTTATCTTCAAAGATTTATTTCTGCAATCAAATTTTGCTAACTAATAACAGAACGTAAAATATTCATATCATATATTGGTTCATAAAAAGAATTTCAATTTTGTATGATTTAATTGGTCATTTTAACATTATTTATGTTACCGTTAATATTTTGGGTTGATCATTATCAAGAATTGCCATATTACAATAAAAAGAAATTGATTTTATACTGTTTGCCATAAATTGATATACTATATATATTTCAACTGCATTTTTAAAATTATTGTGGTTCATTTACAAATGTTCTTAAACTAACCCTAAAATGTATTTTAAATAATACTGATAATAATAATGATATACTTTATAAACCCTTATGCACACTTAAATTTTACAATTTAAATTGGCTTCAAGCTAATTAAGTTACTATGAAGTACTCATAAATATCAATAATTAACTCTCTATTTTTTTGAAATTTTGAAAATTTCAAATAAGATAACAATACTTAAATAAGGAATATTGACATCTACACAAAAACACAATAGGGAATAACATGTTATTACGATGTATTATAAGATTTAAGCTATCCCAAAGTGATTCTTAATCAGTACTTATAGTAGTGTAACATAATTTCACGCAGATTTTTTTAAGAATTATGAAGTAAAATAATAAACACACAATTACACACTTTTGTTATCTTATGAAACCATGTTAGTCTGATATTCCAATCTTTTAGAAATTAGGTTGGTATGAGTGTTTGCGAATATGAAAATTAAAGATTTCAGCCTCTATATTTTTTTCTTTCTTTAATTAAAAATTTTATTAACTGTCTCATTGTTGCTGTTGTTTTGCATGGAGGCATCTGTGCGGAATGATTTATGGTGATTTTCTAACTAGGGCGCCAGGTAATTAAAATTCATTAAGTGACATAGAGATATTTTTATAATAAAATGAACATAGTAATAAATAATTCATCTAATATATTTTTNTAACTGTACTTAAATATGGAATATTGACATCTACACAAAAACACAATAAGGAATAACATGTTATTAAAATGTATTATAAGGATTAAGCTATCCCAAAGTGATTCTTAATCAGTGCTTATAGTAGTGTAACATAATTTCACCCAGATTTTTTTAAGAATTATGAAGTAAAATAATAAACACACAATTACACACTTTTGTTATCTTATGAAACCATGTTAGTCTGATATTCCAATCCTTCAGAAATTAGGTTGGTATGAGTGTAAAAATTAAAGATTTCAGCCTCTATATTTTTTTTCTTTAATTATAAATTCCATTAACTGTCTCATTGTTGCTGTTGTTTTGCATGGAGGCATTTGTGCGGAATAATTTAAAGTGATTTTCTTTACTAGGGCGCCAGGAAATTAAAATTCATTAAGTGACATGGAGATATTTTTATAATAAAATGAACATAGTAATAAATAATTCATCTAATATATTTTTAAATTTTACAGTATCTATTATATTGAGCACAAATAATTTTTCCCTTAAGAAAGTAAGCTTTATTATTCAATGCAAGTGCATATTCAATAGGGTTAATTCAAATAGTTACTCATGAATATTTTATTTTATCAAAACATATATAAATTCAGAAATTTTGTTATATAAAAAAAAATATTCTATTGATTTGAACAATGCAATTGTCGAATAATTTTTTAAATATTTTAATTAATATTAAATAAGTGTCCAACTGAGCTAAAAATAAATTCATGATATTCAAAATAAGAATAAATGAGCATTCATATATAATATGACAATAATATTTTCTTTCATTAAAATGAAGTGAATTTTTATAGATGCAATAAAAAATATAAAAATAGCAATAACTTTTATCTTCTTGAATATAATATACTGCCATGATAGTATAAATGTTAATACAATGCATCAAGTATGCAAAAATTCATGTTAGAATTCTGATCATAGGCTTGCTATAACATTAATTCAGAAGTTGATAGGGTTAAGAAAAAAAAACTATAAAATGACTTTACCTTGAATTTAATACTAGATAGCTGCGATAGTATAATTGTTAATGCATTGTGTCACAAAAATTCAGGTTGGAATCCTGATCACATGTTTTCTAGATCATATTAGTTAGTTCTAAGGTTAAAAAAATGTTAAATAAAAATATAGATATACATGCTGCATTTTTAGATAATTTTGACTCTGAAATAAAAGAGATGATTTTTCCTCTTGAAATATAAGAGATGATAATTTCGCCCCTTATGAAAAAGGGATGACTAAACCTAGGTAAATAAAATAACAGTCTGATCAACTGTTTAATTAGAGCTAAAATAAAAGCTCATATTTTTTTAAATGATATGCTCTGCTCAGTATGTTTTTAGTAATAAACTGAGGAATTTTATTGACACTTATAATTATTTGAATATTTGATACTAATAAACATTTTATTAACTTATAATAAGAAATATAGAATATGATATGATAAATTGCACTTATATATTTAAATATTTTAAAATTGTATAGGTATGTCAATGTGGAAAAGTATTAATGACAATGAGAAAAATATTTGGTAAATGAAATGATTTTGCAAATTATGTTGTTTGTTACTGATAAAAGTTTTCTCAAATTCGAAAGAAATTAGAGTATCCTGTCCAGGTGATGACAATGCTCAGCTAATTTTACATCAACATAAGATTTAATAACATGAATATTGAAAAAATTATTTTTGAAGTATAACTGTATGTCTAAAACTTTTTTTGAATAATAATTTGCTTCACTATTTAACTATACATAAGTGTATATTATATGTTCCATGGATATATTATGCTTCAGTGAATACCTTATTTTGTAACATGGAGGAGATCCATAAATTAAAAAAAAAAATATTACATTTTTTTTTCTGTGTCCAGCGGGGATATATGTGATGCCACAATTGGCATTACATAATCTATTTATTTCCTATCTTTTAAAATATCTTTCATTACTTAAGCTTATTTTTATTAATAAAATATATTTAAAATAAATCAAAGACTTTATCTTTTAAAACGAACATAAAATATTTATTCTTCTCTTTTAGATCAATGTAAAGGATACTTTTTATTTCATTACTATGCAGACTTATTAATTCACTGTCGCCTCTAATCGAAAACAAAAATCTATTAATAACTTTTTTATTCTAAATTTTCTAACCGAAAATATTTTTCAGTTGCATGGTTGTAATAATTCTCATAAATTTAGTGGCGACTCGTAATCGCCAAGATATTCTTTCAAACCCAATATTGATATGCTGGTTGGCTTTGTTTTGGCTATGTTATATTTTGATAATTCGCCAATTTTGGATCTCCTACCCATGCTTCTGTGTCTGTTGGGAACAAATTACATGTACTTTTTAATTTAGCTTTTGATTAAGCAGGTCGTGGGGGATTTGTCTCCCATGGCTTGTCCTTATTAATATTATTATGCAAAATTGATTCAACTGAAATTCTTATGGATAATATTTATATTTGCTATCTCGAGCTCTGCAAATATGTTAAATAAAAGCTTTTTATTAGTTCTGATCCGGTTCAAGTATTATTTTTATCATCTTCTGTTTGCATTATTATCTTCAACTATACACCATACAAATACAAACTCCTAACCACCACTTAAATTGGCACACTGAATTATCCTTCTCCATTATATATATATATATATATAGAAGAGCCATTACATTATGACCACCCTGCTAAAAACATGTAGGACCACCTTTAGCCCTCAAAACTGCTAGCACCCGCCGTGGCATTGATTCCACAAGGTGCTGATA